TGCTCACCCCACCGGGGCGGCCCTGACCCAGACCCAGAGAACTCTCCCAGGTCCCAACAGGAGCAGGCCTGTCCCCCATCCGCACCCCCTGAGCCCCGGGCTGTCCTCTTCATCGGGGCCTGTGTCTGACTCCTCACCTCAAAGCCTCTGACCTCTGACCCCGCTCCAGACAGCCCTGCCTTCTGCCCCACCCCGGACAGAGCCTCCCCTTCCACTGGGCCCTCCCCTGCGTCTGCTGGACACGCAGTCCCAGGAGGTCTGTGCCGTCCACGCCGCCTCCGTCCCTCCCCAGCTGGACACCGTCCGCCCCCAGAGCTCAGGCCCCTGTCCCTGCTGGACTGGATGCCCGGTGAGCCCTGTGCTGGGCCGTCCCGTGCGTGTCCGTGAGCGTCCGGGCGGTGTGTGCCCGTGGAGGTCATGCCGCACGGTCAGGGGCCTGCCACGCCATCCTGAGCAACGTGAGCGTGGGAGTAAGCGCTCACCTTGGGCCGCGTCTGCTTCTGAAGGAAACGGCTTGTAGCCATAGCTTTACAGCCAGTTCTGCTTGGAGATTATGTTTGACCAAATGCTCTGCGTTGCTCATTATTTCCCACTGTCCCTCCCTCGCAAAGATCTCTTCTGTGCACGTTCTGTCCAACTTTTCAAACGCTCGAGGGAAAAGGGTGCATCCTCTCCCGGGCGCTGCCTGCAGACACGGGATGGGGCCGCGCAGCCCCACCCACCACCCTCAACAGCTCCTGCCCAGCGTGGAGCCGTGGACCGTGGGCCCAGGGGGCTCAGACCCCTGCAGGCCTCAGCACGCTGTCCTCTGTCCCCCCAGGAGGCAGGGGAGGGGGCAGGGCATCACCCCTTTTCTGTGGGTGGAGAAACTGGGGTTCCTGGCGGAAGAACCAAGACTAAACCGGCCCAAAGACACCCCGGTAGGGCTCTTCCCCAACCTGAGAGCAGCCAGGGAATCTAATGTGCCACATGCATGTGTGTGCATGTGTGTGCATGTGTGTGCATGTGTGTACACATGTGGGGGGCACAGCACCCAGGAACCATCCACATTGTGTCACTGAGCCCTGCCTGGCAACCCCTACACACGGACAGAAAGGTCAGGGGCCACCTCCCAGCCCTGGGGTGTCTGCAAAGAGCCAGGCAGAGGGCCTCGCAGGCCCACAGGGGAGCCGCCCCCCCCCTCGGGCCCCGCCTGAAGCAGGTTGAGTTTTTTTGCCAGAGAACAAATCACTCTCTGACAATAATTGGGAAGAGACACTTAATTATGAGGCCATGAGAGGAGACGGCACAATTGTTAATTTTAAATTGTGCAGCCCAGTCCTGAAGGCCAAGCAGGGAGCAGCCTGGAGGTGGGGGCTCCAGGCACCAGGCCTGGGGGCTCC